TCGACTTAATTCCACCTCCATGAAAATTTCTTACTTCCTTGCTTCCAATCTAAGGTTGTAAAATATTTTTGGTTCGTATGAAGACATCGTTGTTGAAATCAATAACCGATATCATCCAGGAAATCCACAACCAACTTGACTTTGGCGACATATGTACATACATCACGATGCTGAGAGTAAATTGATAAAACCAAATTCATTGACGTTATTGGGACAACTACCTAACCACAAGCACGCCACCGCCACACCGTCATTATTTCAAGTGTCATCAATGTGCTATATTTGTAAAATTAATACAATACAAAAGCCGGGTTGTCGTTACACTTGTAAATTGAATTGACTTGGCTTGATTACAAAGGTCAAGTAGCAATATGAATCGTCTCAACCTGGTGCAACACTCTGGCTGCGATACATACGTAAAAATAATGGGTGTATGCAGACAACAAAGTGCTTCAAGCTCATTTTTGATTGATGACAACCTGTGACGATTGCCTGGCTCCGAATTTTATGACTCGCGTGAAACTTTATAACCTCGAGTGGATGTAAACTTATGTTTATTGACGTGACGGACTCTAAATAATAATCGAATGACTTTGTTCGTCATGATTTATCTTAAAATCATTGTTACACTGGGGTTTCAGCCCAGATCACGTTATCCAGTGTAATTAAAACCATCAAGTATTACCATGCTAATAAATATGTAGAATTGGTCAAACTCATAAAAATACTTGATATGGATTAGTATTGCAACTTGAGTTTAATCTTACTCTCGAGTTTTCCCCACACCCACCACTGTACTTGTGGACATATATATGGACATAAGTACACATACTATTAACTCGAGCAGTGTTTTGCCAAATCCAACGTGTTTTGACTTGCACCGAACGGACCAGCTCACACAACAACTTGACAAACCATGTGCTCGAATTTGAAGCATTTAGCGAAAAGCACATTGCGATAACTCATTGATCAACAACATAGTACAAGTCGAACCACAAATGTGTGTACTTTCGAACTCAACTCGGACAACCTCTGCTGACGTTGAAACTTATTATGCTGTGATGGAACTGCTATCATCACAGATGACACAGACTTGCTGGGTTCATGCACTCGAGACTGGAGATAAAACAAACGATTGCATGCATATTAACGTAATACTGCATTTGAAATTGATGCTTTAAAAATATCACCAGTACCTCATACTTGCATGCATATGACAATTTTAGTTTGCTTATATAAACCTATTCACCTTAATTTATCTGTTTTACCAATGTAGCTACATGCAAATTAATGTCGATTTATTATTACACACAAAATGATATTATACGTATATACTTATTTATTATATACATTTATTTATATATATTCGTAACTTATAATTTTTACCATTCTGTTACTATAAAGAAGATTTACAAGCACTTCCTAAAGTTTTTCTTTGTGCAAAGATGCAATTATGCAGATTTATGTATTATGCAATTCTTTGTTTCGTAAATGTAACTTAAAAAATAAGGGTATTCATGGGATCAACGTATGTGCGTTAATCTTGATATCTTTCGGGATTCGCAAAAACTAAGTAGTTCATGAAAAAGACTAAATCGTCTGCCAATTTTGCATCTAAATACGTAAACGAAAACTTCAATCGTATTTGAGTGTGGCCATTTCACGATTGAAATTCTTACTCTTTCACTCTCGCCATTTATTTGGAAGCTTATCTTGAAAACCTGGGGTTTCGACACATGTGAATTTTATGATTTTACAAGATATGAACTTGTTTAACCTGACTCCGTCTGTAAACAAGAAAACCATTTCCAAAAGAAAGCAAACTTTCCCCTGGCATGTTCATGCGGTTTTGGTGTCTCTCTCTCTGTGTGGTGATTGTGAGACCAACTGACTTTGCTCAGGGTGGTAGATAAATGTATGGTGGCCGTGTTATCTCCATCAGGCCGTGCACTGTCCTTGTCTGTCATGAGTTTCCTTCCTTTCCGGATTTCTAATTCAATGAATGACAGGGAGAAACGGAAAAAGTACTTAACTAAATTAAATTTTCCCAGTTTTTCCTCCCTCTTCAAATAAAAAACGGATGGAGAATATAACAAATACAAGCCTTCCGGTTAGTAAACATCAAACTCACTCCAATACTTGAGTTTATGCTATTGCGAAAATTTCTGACACCACCATGTTATGAAGCATTATTTTACTGTGGTAAGTTTTTTAGCTTTGAAAATTGCTGTAGTCGGATATACGTATGTGCTAAGCATGTTTCAAGCTAGAATTAGATAAATCAGTAGTAAATGAATTAATTGCAATGTCACGATATGGAAAATTCAGGGCCTGTAATAACAATGAATTATCAAATTCATTGCTAAATTTGCTTAAATTTTAATCATTGAGCACATAAACTGCAGAAAACTGGAGCCAAAGTGAATCTAACAGACACCAAAATAAAGAGCAGTGATTATCCTTTGATGGATGTACCATAATCTTTGTGGTAAGTGATGTAGGTCAGTTTTATGGCAAAGTTGCATTTAATGACTTAGAAAGAGGTGTAAAGTGAATAAAAGACCAGAAGTTAACATCAGACTTGCTTATGTACAGCATTTTTTTGCTTTATAGCTGCCCAGTTTATAACTACATACATACATATATTCAAATGATTAGTAAATAAGTAAAATCGCTTAAACGACAGTTGTCGAGCATGTGCCAGTATTGGTTTATTCAATTTAGCATGCACTACTGGTACAATGCAGAAAAAATAAACTTTAGTAATGTGGTGTTGAAACTCATACTTGGGCTTGGCTGCATTTTTACACGTGTGTGATTTTTATGTATTTATCTTGAACTCACTAAAAAGCCAAGCTGTCTACAAGTTCCTAACAAAAGAGAAAGCTTTGCTGAACAATGGTCACAAATGGAAAAAGGACAAGTTCCAGTCTAAATCCAGCTCAATCCGACCCCATTACCTGGAAAAACAGTCCACGTGTTGTTACAATTGTGAGAAGTGTATTATTTAGCTTAGGTCCAGAAAATGTGTAAAAAACGAACAAGGGGGTTCTATAACAATTCATACAACGATCGAGGACTAAATCCCAATGTATGTAAAGAAATGTTGCCCTTTTTTACAACTTTTCAACCACGGTCAATTCACGAGTTGATTTTATTCCTCTTTATTTTGCATATTTCCCTCGTAGCATAGTTCTCATTCTGTGATTATCAAAGGGTGACATTGTAAACGATGAGAATTGTGATACAAAAAAAAGCATCAGAATGCCGAATATCAACATGACGCCGGCTAAAGGATACTTGCAGCCATTTCATAAATAAGAGCGCATAAAAGGTAGGCGCTCCCCAAGAAAAAAAGGATTGAAAATCCACTCTGTTTTTTCCTCTTTGCTGTTCAGCCCACATAGGTAAGACATCGTTGTGAGTGTGATAAAACTGCCTTGGGGCTCGTACCTATCCCTTCATATCTGTAATCTCGTGAGATCTTTATTCCAACTAAACTAACATTGTGTCCGTGTGTCCATGTACCGTATGTACATATGTACACCCAGAAGAGCTACTCACAACCCATCCCAAATTTTTCAAGGGGGAGCCAAACTAGCGACTATTTTCTTTGAGCATTTCAAGAAGCAATTTGTTCTTCGGCACAAGCAACAACCCAGCAATGTTGATACCTGTAAAAATTTACTAGCAGCAGAACGACTGCATCCAATTTTAAATCCACCTAGGATTAGCATTTAACTTTTTTGAGATCCGAGAGGAGACGAGTGGATGATAAATAAATATCACCGGCAGCAGCACAATAAGAATTGAAGCTCAAGTATTGAAAAGGAAGAGTTGGAAGAGTCGGACTCCTCGGGACTTGCTAAAAGCGGGCAGCTCGGATGACCACACTTGACAAAGTTGTTGAGAACGCTGTTGATCTCAAGAGCCATCCATTCAGGAAAGACGCTGCTCCTTGGCTGATAATATTGCATCCAACCATTGCATCCACTTTCCCATTGGCAAACAAACAAGGGTTTACATATATGTACGTACATACGTGTATTGTGAAGTCGTCGAATGGTTTGCAGAACGAGGAGCATCAGAAGGACGACTTGACTGGAGGGCAGCAGTAAAAAAAGCTGACTGGGAGCTGGTGTGGTGAGACTGAAGTGGAGATCACAAAGTGAATGGATCTCTGGCCAACTGAGAAGAAGAACTGAGAAGAAGTGGTCTCACTCTGGTTTGTTGGCTGTTGGGAGTTCACCAACGCCGGCCTTCCTTCCCTTTTTGTAAATTACTCTCACAAAGGGAAAACCACATGGAGGAGGAGTTTCGTCACAATTTCGACGCTTCATTCGAGATTCCTCTGACGATTTGAGTTGCTCGACATCGGCCATGCGTTCTCCAAGCAAACCCACTGCTCCTTCTTCCACGGCTACTGCTTGGCTTTCTGCTTAATATCAACCCACCTTTTTGGCCGTAGAAAGTCGGTAAAGCTCATATACGACGTCCTGGTCTTTTCCCTCCCGGTGGCATCAGCAAACACATACCGAAATCGGGAGTACAAAGTGCCGGGTATACCCCAACTCCCTTGCATGCCGTGCTGCTGGAGAAATGCATAACAGTCCCATGTACACGAAACACAGCGTAACCTTAAAGTTACCATCTGGCTACTGGCATCTAAAAGGACAGAGGGAGAGAGCCAAGTATATATCCCGCCTTGCCCCATGAATTCATGTCAGAGAAACGGGTAGTTTTCTCCTCTCTCCGGGTATTTCACAGACTCGGGTAATAATAATACCAAGTAAAAGTCCCCTTTGGTTGTTCCATAAGTCCATGCCGTTCATATGCTATGTGTGCATGCAATACTTGGGTCAGCTTTGTGGATGTGGATTCTACTCACTCATTGGGCTTGAAGAGAGGTCTGGTTTGCTGGGACTGCCTCTGATGCTGAAGACTTACCTTACAACGACGAGCTAACAGTGATACAAATTCTGATTGTGCGGACGTAGTGAACCACTCTTAACCAAGTCGTCCACAAAACTGGGTAGCAGCATCATCAAGTAGAAACGTGCAATGAGCATTTTAGTCGCTACTTTGCCGTCAACATTGAAGCTGCTTCAAGCACTTGTTTCTGATCTCATCTCACTCGAACCACACAGTGAAGCTTAAAAAATTATAAACTTGCTCTGCCAACTTATTGGAAGCGAAACGTGCTTCAGCGTCATCATCACCGTTTACCTTGATCATCAACGACCAGTGACTGGAGGAGATAGTCTCATTCTCAGAAGGACAATTTTTTCAGTGTGACCATATTTTGAGAAATTGATCTCGATTGTATGGCATATGCACTGCACAGCAATTGTGTGGACATTGGTTGCCTACCTGGTCAACATTGGATAGAGTTATAGCTTGAAATGTTACACCTTTTCTGAGTGCAAGATAATCGTGCAATTGAAAAGATAACGTTAATCATTTTAGTCACTTTAATCATCACTTGTTGATTAAACTGATTGGAAAGAATATGGCACAAGTTAAAATATTCAGTTGTGCCCGATCAAAGCAAAAAACATAAGCAATAAGACAACGCTTCATACAGCACATGGACTCCAAAACATGTTTATAATTTTTTTAATACGTTGTGCGAAATTTTGAATGAAATGATTTGAGTGACAGCAGGATTACTTTGTTGCTGATTTGATTTGGAGAAAAGATTGACACTGGATCCGATCAAAGTTGCCTCATCAAGGAAAAAGAGATTTCTTGGAATACCTAAAAGTTTCTGGAAACAATATTTAACAAGACGACATAAAAAATAAAAAAAACTTCATTGTTACATACATTGATGTCAATTAAACCTCAGCATTTCCGTAATTTTCAGTGATAAATATTTGTGGTCAACTTGAGACACTTTAAATTAAGCTGCAGTTTCAACATTTTGGAGAAAAGATACGTCCGGCAAAATTCCTATAATTTAATTAAAACTATTGCGCAGCGTTTTATATAATTTTTAAAGTGTTGTTAAAGAAAGGCGTCAACATTTCTCCCTCAAAAAAAAAGGCAGAAGAGATGGGGGACCAGCCGCAAAGTGAGTTTCTAATTTTTTTCATACACAATATTTAAATATGCAGTAGAACAAAGTTGCCAACATTTTTCTCTCCTATAAATTTGTGTCGTAAATATGTACAAGCCATGGAAAGGATACTGAGGCTGGGAAACATTGAACTTCGGATTAATTAATTAAAGTTGGGTTTAGGTTGAAAAAATTAGAATTTTCACACTACCCATACATATGTAGTACATATGCAAAGTATAGAAATATTGAAGATACTAAATTTGAATGTGCGCTTTATTATCGTTTCCGCTCAGGATTCCTCAGTATTATAAAAAATTTGCAACAATTCAGTCGTAAAGTAGATTTTTTAAATCATTATAACCAACTCTTTTACCTTGTAATTAGCAAAGATGGTGAAAAATAAAATATTTTATTACCTTCCGGATACGTTGAAGTGTCGAGTGGCATAAAAATAGAAGTAGTTTGTTGTAATTATACACGAGTAGCATCTTTGTAAAAAACAAAAGGATACAGCAGAAATTCTTGTTTTCTTGTTCTAAAATTTTAGATTTGAGAATATATATAGCAAGTTTTGCACAACATCTACGTTCTCACTACACCAGTTTTGTCTTTATCAATCATGATAAGACTAACAATCAGCAGGATCAACAACTTGTTTGTTTTTTTGTAATTTAATTGACTAAGGTAAAAATGTATAAATTGCAATCTCGGTCAGGATAGGTCAGGATTATAATAAATATGTACGTACGTAGCTACGTAATTAAGACTTCAAGTGATTTGCTGGCTTGATACTCGCTAAAATTATCATCCTGCTGAGTTTAACTTTATAATAATCTGTAAAAATCATCGCAGATAGTGAATGCGTTTCAAGTAGTTGAGACTGAAGGGAGGATGTATATCTCAAATAATATGCAGTGTAGTTAGCGTGCGAAAAGTTTCTTCACACTTCTTGGTGTTGCCTTCTATCTGTTTATGCTACAAATAACATGCGTACATATGTACAAAAGACGGATGAATCTGTTATGGAATCGGAATTAACGATGCATTTTCTTCCTGAGAGAGGTGTTTATTGGCATTACACATACATAATTGAATCAACCGGATTAAAACGTGTAAACACAAAAGAGTTGTTGAAACTGTCGGAAATGTCAAGACATTTTATGATCTTTGCAGTAGAATGGTGTGTGAAGACGTTCTTTAACTTGCTCATTTGGAGCTTCCGGTTGTTAATCAACTTCTATTTCTATCCCGTTCAAATTTCTCGCATCGCTATTTGCTAATTATTACACAAACTCCTAATGTGATTAGAAATGGTTGGAAAGGTTTATTGAATAAAATTGCGAGCTATTTGCAATAAAAATTTAACTTCATCTCAAAGCTGCATCTTGTTCTTGTAAAAACTTTTATAGTTTGAAACTTTATTACTATTTTATGGCAGTTGAGGTAGGTTGGGTTGGATAAGATTTGCCAGTTGGGGTCCAGATAAGAGACTCATTAAGCACAAGGTTTCGCTTTTGGTGTGCTAAACGAATGTTGCAGTCATAGCAAATGAGGAGGATAAAGATAAGACCTGGAGAAAAAGCAACTGTATAAAACTTTAATTAAATGCTGCATGCATTTAAGCACACCAGCCGAGTTTTGACCAGTGGACCAGGTTGGGCAGGCAAAACAGGTCATTCACAGGACTGGTCAGGAGCATATGCAGTGTCATGAGGAGCCTAAATTCAATTTGAATAAAAAAGAAGACAGAGGCAGCTTGTGAGGCTGCTGGAGGCGAGCGAAGGCAATATTTGAGCAGGATGAGATTGTTTCGAGATAGTCCAGACCAGAAGCAGCACAAGGGTTGGCTGGGCTCCACACAATTAGACTCGTCTCAAACAGTGTGCATTGTCCTTTTATTTCGTTTTGGTGTAATCGTGGTGTAATAGTGCAGCGGCCCTTTGTTCTGGTGCTGGGAGAAACCAGTCAAATTGCGTTCACAAGAGACTTGTCTCTCCAGCACCTTCCGTATCTTCTTCTCATCAGCTCCATTTGATGGATCTTTTATTCCTCCTTAATTCGTTTAAACCTCAAACCTGGCTTGTTATACGGCTCGAGCGGTTTGATTGTCATGTAAATGATCAAATGTGGGAAAGAACTGATATTGATACCGAGTGCGAGCTCTGGTTATATGTATTTGTATATTTTGTAGAATAATTTCGGAAGATATGGATGTCGTTATTCAGATAATATTTATTTCATTAAAGTTTCGTTATACACATGTATTTACAAATGTGTGTTTACAATTGCAGGATTACTAAGCGCTAATTTTTTTATGCAAGTTCAAAATTTTACACGATTTGAAAACTTGAATTTTAAAGTACAGGCATTTGAATGAATCTGACAGTAAAGTATGTAGAGCCATACAGAAGATCTTATTGCCGCTGGTAGCAGAGAAGATGAGAGTGGCTAAATTAATAAGTATGTATTTATATATTTGACCTTGCTGCTTTATTGGGTTTCAGTATATATTTTATTACGGTGAAAATTTATGACGCTTAGTTGCATTAACTCGAGAACACAAGATGCAAGAATTTTGTACCAATTTTTAGCTGGAATTGTGATTTAAGGTTGAATGTCTAAAGTTATTAAGTGTCCTTCGCATTGCAAATATGTAAGCTTGTTATAAAAAAATTGAGTTTGAGGAAACTCAGGGGCCTGATTAATATAGTATTTTCGATTGTGTATATACTCTGCAACAGTTTTTCTCATTAATAAGTTACTTATTTTCCTAAAATCAAGAAAGTGAGGTTGTGGGGTGAGTCAAACAGTGTTTAAAAGTCTGCTCATGTAGGCTACCTGGTTTGTTTGTTGGTAGTTTTAAGCCTAATGAGGCTTCATTGAGACTTCTGGACCATGACACGAGGTGTATGTGCGCGGAGGAGGAGACGACGAAAGGACGCCAAGAATCAAGTTTGACTCGCTCAAGTATTTAAAGGTTTCGTCAACTGCTTTATATTTACTTTATTACAAGCCACCTGACATCATCATCATTATTGAAATCACCATCGGGCAAGTCACAATTGGGATACGGACGTATGATACACATTTATGAGAAGTATAATATTCGGTTCGCTGGGCGATTTCTTCTTTTTAAGCTGATCATAAATGATTTCATTAATATATTATTTACTCAATAAGGAGATTAACGTCAAAGCGAAATTAATCCGATTTCACTTTTGTGTTGTTATTGTCACGCCTTTACTAGTGTATTGTTTTAATAAAAAGACAGGATTATTCGTTTAAGCAACAAGATTTGCTTTAAAAACTTGGATGACACAGTTAAGATGATCATAATATTTTATTGATATGCAATATGAGTCAAAGTAAGCAATGAAAAAAATAGATTGTCGTTTTTTATAAAAGCTTACATACTTCTCAAAGTATCACGAAGTCACGATCACGAACTTGCATTTTACATCTACTAGTAATAGCGATACAACAGTTTGGTGGGAAGCAGTCCAGCTCCCATTATACACACGTAATTGCAAAATTGATATCTATGTATGTATGGTATGTTGAATATTAAAAAGGTTAAGTTGCACATTAAATTTGCAATAGATCTCCATGAGCTATATACTGGTTACTGGATAAAGTAATAATAAGTATAATGAATAAGGAAAGTTGGAAATTGGAGATACTGATTGAAACTTGATTTGAATATTTATGTCAGCTTTGCCGGGTGGCGTTAGCACAACTGACAACTAGTTGAACATGATAATTAACACTAACCAAATTTTAAACCACTATTTAAGTATCATAAGTCGTGATTTTATTAATTTTCAAGATTGGTTGATCAGGATTAATTAACACTTGTATTAAAATATATAAAAGTACGTGTGTACATGTAGCACAGAAAGGATAGCCGTGAAGAAAATGGCCTAATTCAGAAAATCTTTTCCTTGTGCAAGGCGTTGGGAGTTGTACTAATAAAGGTAATGATAATAACAGGCAGAGAGATGAGAAAGAGAGATCACTGCAAGCAGTGATAAATGGTACATGGCTACGAGGAGACAATTGCAATTTATTTAGCAACCCCATAACTTTTCTCGTCATTACATCCAACGAATCATAATTTTGCGTAGTGTCAGTGTATGGTTGATGCATGGTTTGTCAAAATCCAGTTAAATAGCACTGCACCAACTGTTAATTCGTTTTCAAATCTTGTGTTTCATTGTTTTGTCTACCAAGGCCAGGCAAAGAAAGAGTGTCACCACCGATTTGGCAATAGACGTAGAATTGAGCAGGAGAATTGGGAGAGACGCTGCGAGTGGTCGGACTACTGCATACGTATTTGTGCATACAACGGGCAGAGTCATTAAGGGTTATTATTACAAGGGACTTTCCCTCTCGTGAATGATCACAGGTTTGATAAGGGAGGCGACAATCTACGTCTACGCACGTCTGCCACCCAACTGACACTGCACTGCACTGCACTTCTCAACGGACCGGGTCGAACTACAGCTCTTCACCAAAGTTGCCTAATAATTAGTAGTAAAATATTTTATCAATTAATATCTCATACAAGTTGCATTGTTTTTGACAGAATCAGGAATTAGATAGGATAAAATACTTAGATGGGGATTGAGAAATGATGAAACGAATAATTCGGTCACGGTCAATGGTTGCATAATTAACTGGACGAAACCCTCTAACTTATGTTGTGTGCAGTACCAAGATGCAGTTGTAACATCCTTGTCATAACCCTGACGGATTAACCGATAAAGATCACCAAGATTTTGAAAGTCCAATGACTCAAGGACTTGCCATCCATGGCCAACAATTCATAAAGTGTGACCTTAGAGCATGTATGTAACTACATATATTTATCCCTACATAGTTCAGTAAAAGATTAGTAGAAATTGAGCATATATTATAATATCACCTTTTGATGAGGTGATATTATACTAATTATTATACGTACAATTCAAAATTGCTTTTACATAGACCAAAACCAATTCTAATTTTGGATT